GAACCATGCACTGTATCAGATTTCTATGCTTCCATTTCATCAATTTGGTTGGTGTGGAAACATCTGCCATTTTGAAAATTTTGGAAAAAAAATTCAAAATTTCTTCACTTTTCCATCTCAGTTTTTCAACTGGGTTTTGGACAGTATACATTACAAAGGAACTTATCGTGTCACTTGTCTATTGTGATGTCATAGAGACAATTAGAGAAATTGAAGAATTTGAAGAAAAATAGCCACCCAAAGACACTTACACCTGGTAATTGCCACTTTACAAAGAGTTTATTCAAGCAAGAAAACTATTTGGAAAAACGTAATTTCGGGTTGAACATGGTACCCACCACTCTGGTTACCATAGCAACCATATCTCAAGAACCAATCAAAATAACACATATGTGTACCAAGTTTCATTGTAAAAGTCCTATTTTCCTTATGGAAGTTATGGCATCAACTGCAAAACTTTTTGAACCACCTAAGTACATTTGATGTCATTTGGTTTTCGCTATACCTGCTATCTTTGAAGGTGCACATTAACTTCAGTTCTCGAAAAGCCATTGCCTTGGCTTTTAGTTTATTTGAAAGATAATATATTATTTTTTAGGAAATATAGCATTTTGGGCACCAAAAAGTATTTTTTTGATAGAAAATTAACAATTTTCGTGTCCGAGTGACCCCCCCCCCTTGTGACTTTAAAAGGTTATTAAAAGCTTACAGCCATTAGGGTTAAGAATGTAATGAATACGTTGTGCATATAAAGTGATCATGTCCAGGCAGAATAATAATCAATTCAAGCAAATTGCACTGAAGTCATTAGTAATTATAAGATTTGGATAATATAAATAAAAATAGTGTCTTACTCCTCGACCACTGGTAAAGGTGAAATGGTGCGGGTGTTGAAGAAGCCAAGCTGATGTCCATTGGTTGAATATTTCATTGTATAGGGGATGTTTTTTAAAAGGTTTCAAAAAATCAATCAAATTACAGAATATAGTACATTCATCAAATAGTTAGTGTAGATATGTGATTCATTGTTCGCGCGAAAATAGTCACCTTTCTGAAAGTGGGGTTCGTTCCCGGCCTTTAGTTTGTTGACAAGGGATAAGAAGGGCTTGTTAGGGGGCTCAAGGAGAATGGGAGTTTGCACGAGGCCCACAAACCCACTCTCACTATGCCCATGCCCATAGTGTTGTAAGTGTAGACAGTATCTATGAAATGGCTCCAAATATAAAAGTTAAGGGATTCATATCTGTGATTTTTCCGCATTTTGAGTATGTTTTTAAAATAGCCATAAAATCGTGACCACACATCGTAGACATACGAAACTTAGTAAAATGAAGGAACATTGCACAAGGTTTAATTGTGCTAAATATTAGTTAAAATTCATTATGGAAGACGAAGTTACCTTTTTGGCTTACTCTGTATATGGTCGCTCAAATGACAAACTTGCGGAAAGTCCGTGAATACATAAATGAAAGAAAGCTTAATCTGATATTGAAACGGAAGGTGAAGCTCTGAATCTTTGGTAGAAATAAATACAGCCTTCTGATTTTAAATAACATTTTTAAAGTCTAAATACGATATAATTTGACGGAGATGTTTTTGGCGTTCGGGAAGGGTTGGAGGATGCACTAACTTGAAAATTATATCATCCTGAATAATGTGATCTTCTTTCTCAGCAGAAAAAATTCAAATGGTTGAATATTAAATCATGTCTGGTCATGATATGCTCTCTAATTACATATCAAGCATCAATGTTTAATTTTGCAGATATAACCATTGTTTGGTACGGCAATCGTATGTACGCTAGCTCAGAGGGAAACACTTCTCACATTTCTGCACTTCTGCATTTGGATAATTAATGAAAATAGCAAATATTTAAGATCTTGCAGTTCCATCTGATGCTACTTCCACCCACATAATACAACCATGTAAGTGAATAAATAATAAATATGTGCTACACCTTTCTGAAAGTGGTGTTCGTTCCCGGCCTTTAGTTTGTTGACAAGGGATAAGAAGGGCTTGTTAGGGGGCTCAAGGAGAATGGGAGTTTGCACGAGGCCCACAAACCCACTCTCACTATACCCATGCCCATAGTGTTGTAAGTGTAGACAGTATCTATCTATAAGAAATCAACAATTTTCAATGGAGTTGCTCTTTCGAAAAACCTTTCACCAGATCATAAAATTGGTCAGCCAATTTCAAGATTTAAATAATAGTAAAAGGTGATGGAAGCCCCGCTTCTATCTTATCAACTTCAAAACTAAATGCCATACCTCGTTATATAGAAATTCATTTTAACCGACTTAATTAGGTCTGGACTTCTCTTACAAGCTCATCTTCATGCACCTAATTTTGAACGGGTTGCCGAAATGTATTTGTGATAATCTAAACCAGACAACTTCACACTTCCTGTTGAAAATTCTCAGTAAATTCTTAGTAGATGTCAAAGAAAAACTAATGTATGTAGTAGCATATTATATCAACCAGTGTTTTTAACGTATTCCTGGGCCTCAGGAATAAACCTTACATTCAGTTAAGATATATGAGGCTAGTGAAGTGATAATTTATTGATTTTTTCTCATCTACCAGTAACATGACAGGAAAATAATTCAATGTGTAATAGGAGGAAGAAAGTATCGCAAGATTTTGGACAGTCATAATGTTGGATTTTCTGAGGATTTAAACAGGTGCATATGTAAGACCAATGCATAACCTACAGGAAAAGCACTCCTATAGATGATAATATAATTTCGACTTTGAGGCAGGAAAGATGCAAACAACCCACCCACATGTTTCTTCTGAAATGTTTTCCTGATTTTCAACCCCTTTCACCCCTGCTTTTTTAATTTTTCTTGCAACAATATGTTGTGATTTGACACACAGTTAACCCTTTTAGATAAAGTGGAAAACAATATTTCCCATATTATTTTCCCATTGGGGAAACTGGGTGCGATCAATTGCTTTCAGCTAGTTTTGGTCACCCATAATGGATATCTTTAAAACCCCCGAAGGAATCACATATTCCTTTAAAAGGGCCTACTGTGTGTCAAAACGCAACATATTGATGTAAGAAAAATTAAAAAAAAAACAGGGGTGGAAGGGGTTGAATATCAGAACAACATTTCAGAAAAAACGTGTGGGTGGGTTGTTTGCATCTTCCCTGTCTCAAAGTCGAAATTATTTGATCATCTCTATGAGTGCTTTTCCTGGAGGTAATGCATTGACCAAACATATGCACCAGTTTAAATCCTCAGAAAATAGCCAAATTCCAACATATGGCTGTCCGAAATCTGTTGCGATACTTTCCCTCCTCCTTTATAACATTCCTATATTTATTTCATTCAAATTGCCCACAAACTTTTTTGTCTGCTGTGACATTCAATGTTAATAGGGAGGTTAAGTGACGTACGTTAACGTGTAGAATTATGGTCCTCTATGGATTAGTTCTCCCATTTGTAGTGTTTACTTGGCCGATTGAGTATAAAGGTATACGGAAAATAATTGTAAATAGGTTCCTGGGACATTAATGAATTGAGAGATAAACAGTAAACTCCGGGTTCAAAATATTAATTACACGCTCGCGTACATGTTTTCTTATAAACGTGTGACCTAACCTCCCTACGTTTCATCTTGATTAGTTTACCAGTTGCAGCTGCTTGTAAATTTTCGTGACAATGCATTCCAACAATGCCCCCCCCCCCAAATGCTCCTTAATGACACTCTAAATAGAGTCTCCATTCAAAATTATATCATAATGTCTGTGTCCCATGTCCTTCGCCATCTATTGTAAGTCCTTAATGACACTCTAAATAGAGTCTCCTTTCAAAATTATATCATAATGTATGTGACCCATGTCCTTTAGTCTCGCTCAATTTATTTTGGTTCTAAGTCTTCATTCCATTTTGTACCATCAGACTCTCCATTTCAACAGGTTCTGCATTCCCCCTGGCATCTCCATCCTTTTTATCAAGATTTCGTGAGCCCTAACAAGCACCATGAACATTTTAAGTGACACGAGGGCGTGACGAATTTGGAAAGTGCCTACTATAATTAATACACGGTTGACAGTTTACCAGTTGACAGTTTACCATGATAGTTTGTTAATATGAAATCCTGTCTTTGTGGTCTCTTTGAACCCCCTATTAATATTGTATATTTATTGAGAAAATGGGCATTAATCACTTTTATTAATAGGAAAGTCCACTAAAATATGGAAAGGCCAATATAGTGGCTTTTATCTTTAAGTACCGATAGTCTCAAACCTGCCCAAAGAAAAATGAAGTATCTTTGTCCGGTATGTCGCCACAAAACAATGAACATTCCATTTCAAAGACTTCCCTTATTAAGAAAACATATTTAGTTTTGATTGTAACAAGGGCTTTTGCCTATAAAATGGGGTCACACAAGGTTGCCTTTTTATACAATGTATTTTTACTTTTTACCACAGAACTGCAGTTCAAGTATGATATAAATTTGATAAAAAGAAAGCATTTTTTGATTAACAAGATAATATAGAATTTGGAAAATGTCAAAAAGATGGTTCCCATAGGATGCAAATGTCTGCAATGGTAAAAAATCTGCATGGCACCGTGTTTTGGTGTGTAATTAAGTGTAATAAAGTAATAAAAACACTGTCTAATTCTTGAAAAAAATGTAATGCGACATGTATAAAAGGTACAGGGTGACAAAAACGTTACCCAAATAAATATCTTTGATGACTTAGGAAGATGATGATATCCCCATGCTAAGTCAATACTGCATGTCCCCATGTTAAGTCAATACATCCTTGCTCAAATCATCACTTTCTAAGTGAAAGCCCCTGTTACCCGAAAAATGTAATAGAACCCAGTGTAGAGGATATACATATAGGAATATTATGCAGTAGTTGGTTTTTGTGGCGGACATCCGGACAAAAAACTGCTTAAATAGAGCTCTTAGAAAAACCAGATCATGGACTACAAGCAAGAATTCTTTTTAATTGATAGAGTGTATGTAATGCTTACTGTAATTTTTCTCCATAATCTCACCCTGTACGATTCAGGGAGACAACAGAACAGTAAATCCGGCCATTTAATATACGTTGCTTCATCAACATCGTCTTTATCACTAAATCCTACAAACAGAACGAATGATCAGAAAATCTAACAGAAACCCTGATACAACTTTTACCTGATACTACTATACTGAATCTTTTCATCATCCTAGATACTTTTAAAACCAGAATTGGTATTACGGCCCGTTTTGCCTTAACTCTTTGAAACACTGATTACCCGTAGCCTAGTTTTGCTGTATGTTTAATGAAATACTGGTAATACCTGTCACCAAGCTTACAAGCATCCCTACTGTAAACGTCACAATGATTCCTATCAAGCCATACCAGGTGTAAGAAATTGAGTAAAACTTGTCCAAGGGTCCCCTTGAAAATGTAATATTGTGCATGCATAAAAGATAAATCAGAAGGTATAACCCTTTTTCTAGAAACGACATTTTTACGATTCACGTTCAAATTGATAACTCATAACTTAACCATTGATGTCTGATAGTACTTTTTATCACACCATCGGTGGGATATAGTCATCATACTGGTCGTGGTCGTGATCGTGGTCGTGATCGTGATCGTGGTCGTGATCGTGGTCGTGATCGTGATCGTCCCGCTTTTTGTCATCGCCGTTTAAGGAAAACTGCTCATCAGATTTTCTCCAAATTCGCAGAGATGATAGAGCATATGAAGTACTAGAGCTGATAAACTTTTGGGTGGCCATCTTGTTTTCTGACGGCCATTTTGAAGGTTTTTCGAAAAATCTTGTCATCGCCATTTCAGTAAAACCGCTCATTGGATTTCCTTCAAATTTACACTAATGACAGAGGATATCAAGTACTAGAGCTGATTAACTTTTGGGCGGCCATCTTGTTTTCTGGTGGCCATTTTGAAGGTTTTTCGAAAAATCTTGTCATCGCCATTTCAGGAAAACCGCTCATCGGATTTTCTTCAAATTTGCACAAATGATAGAGGATATCAAGTACTAGAGCTGATTAACTTTTGGGCGGCCATCTTGTTTTCTTGTTCTTGAAATTTGTTAACATAATAGGAGAACAGTTTTCCTGGTTCATAGTGTCTGCCTATTTGATGGTGTGATCTCGTTCACGTCCCGTGCCTTGTTTCTAGTTTTCGTGCCTCTGTTATTTGTAGTGCATCTTGAAATATGAATGTCAAAGACAAAAACAAGGTGACTTGAAATTGTTGCTTTATATTCAATTACATTGATTTCAATGGGTTTTCCCGATACCTGCCATCTTAGAAAGTACAAAACCTCAGTTCTAGAAAAGCCATTGTCTTGAAGTTTGTTCATTTGAAAGAGAATTTACAGCAATTTTGGCACAAAAAACATTTTGAAAGAAAATCAACAATGTTTAACAAAATGTCACAAATTTGCACCGCTAGGTCATATTGAACTCGATTTGACCTTTGTGGACTTATTTTTCTGAAAAATGATCATCAAATAACGTTTACAACAATACCAACATTATTGAAATCAGACAAGTTATAGAAATTCGCTGAGGGGTATCCGAATGACCCCCCCCCCATACGCTTAGAAAAGGTAACAACAGCGTTGCAGACATTAGGGTAAAGAATGTAATGAATACGTTTTACGTACATGAAGATCATGCTTGGGGAGAATAAAAATTAATTCAAGCAAGTAGCCCCAAAGCAATTTAGAAATTATAAGTCTTGGATAATATAAATAAAAATGACGTCTTACTCCTCGACCGCTGGTACAGGCGAAACAGTGCTGGAATTGGAGAGGCCAATCTGATATTCATTGGTTGAATATGGCGTTGTACTAGTTCCATTAAAGAGTTCGCTGACGTTTTCAACATAACATCCGTTGGTTGACGCCGGGGGAAGGATGTGTTTCGTGGATTTGATCGTGAACGCCCCCAAAGCGATCCACAATAAGAAAGCAAAACCGACCCATCCTCCCACTGTTACACCCTGAATTTAACAAAATAAATGAACAGAATAAATATAGTCTCCCACTTTTATATGGTCGATCAAATAACAAACTTGCAGAAAGTCCGTAAATATATAAATGAAAGAAAACTAAATACTAGTCGGAGGAATTTTTATTTTCATCATTTTCACCAACAAAATGTGGATTTGTATCCGGCAAATGTTTTACCCATATGTTAATATTAGCATCAGGTTACTGAAAGCTAGTCAGTCACGAGCAAATATATCCAGCAGCTCCAATAATCGAATAAGAATTCCTCACGTCAACAACCAGGACGTTTACACAACTCAACCAAGACGTTACGAAATTCACCAGGTACAAATCAACCTCTTTGCATTGTTGGTGAAAATGATGAAAGGAAAACTTTCCTTCGACGGAAGTTCATCGATTTTGTTATAAAGCAGTAGCGTCTTTATAACCAGATGGGGACCAGTGATATTGTACCCCAGTCGTATTCACATTGCACAGAATTGGTCGAATAGCCGATAGATGTCATTCATTGATTAAACATGACGTCATATTTGAGATCTTAAGATAAATCTGACGTCATGACGTCAGTGCCATAGAAACTGAGATTGTCTTATTTTATTTTGACGTCATTCTAATGTAATGAACCAGTTATATCACCAAAAGTTATCATATTTTGTTTGAAATTGGCCGAAAAGTTAAAGGTATGAGGATTCTAATCTCAAAGGAATCAAACAGATCTACCTTCAAAGTTACAGAAACCTGAGATGACTAAGATACCATATGATTTTAAGTACCTCTACCAGACCGTTGAATATCCTCATTTCACCATTTTGACGCCATTTCTAATGGATTTCAATGGAGTCATGCATGAATTCCTCATGATTTTTTCAAAACAAATTGGCCGAAAAGTGTGCATGTGTACATTGCTTAAAACATGTTAAATCAGTAAAGGTTGATGTCTAGTTATAGAAACCTGAGATGACTAAGGTGGCAAATCAATATCATTCGCACTATAAGCGTTCGAAAAATGTCTCCATTATAAATCCCATAGGCTTTGGAAAACCGGAAGTAATGGTTCTGCGCATGCGCAGTGAAATATTGGACAAATTTTGTGCAATGAATAAGCGTTTATTTATTAGTTATGTTAAGTATTCAGGTTATTAAGAGAAAAAATTCGTTTAAAATAATAAAATATAAGTATCGTCTTTTTGGAAATTTTACTTGCTATTCTGTCATTATTCTGTTTTTGATTGTTAATGTTTCATCCTGGTTTACCTTCCAGTTGCAGCTGGTCGTAAAGGCTCCAAGACAATACATCCCAACAACCGACCCTCCAACTGCTCCGCCCAATGCCACGGTGACCTGTGAGTGGAAGAGTCCAAACTGTATAATTTTCACTTACTATTTTACTACAACGTAAGGATACTGAATTATATATCTAAACACAAGACGATATAATTTAGTATTTTGTTACTTTTTACTTAGGTTTGAAAGCGTGATAATCCAGCCTGTTCAAAAATGAACAGTAACTAATTTGTGGAATATGTTAGAGAAAAACTTTTGAAGATCTTAGCTTCTTAAAAGATATGCAAATCTACCTTATAGTGTAACTATTCGACAAGCATTCTCTATTGTTACGTAACGGTGAAACTCAAAACAAATTTTCTGGATGTGTACCTGCAAGATTTGACCAGGAATCTTCATAGCAACAAACGCCATCACAGTCGACAAAATCCCAAATACAATCACTAAAATAACGCAAAATTGTAATCATTTTAATATATGTTTAAAACAATATAACAAACCTGCATATCTTCACCCTGGGATGAGCCATAAGACACAGCTTAACTGCACTGTTATATTTTAATTAAAGTAGCTGTCACATTCGATGTGCGGGCTCACCGTTCGCCACAATGTGGCCTGCTGGCTAATTTTGGGCATTAATTTTTTACTTGACTAATTGAATACTTATTTGGTGTGATGGGAGATTGCTGTAAAACTATTTGTTTTGCCCACTGTGTATAAATGCCTTATCCCAACCAAAGTATCCACACGGTAGCGAACAGTAAGCCCACATGGCTTAAATGTGATGACTCCATAATAAGCGAGATTCAGAAATATATAACGTACCCAATCCCTTTGTAATATGCGTCGCCCTAGCAAGGCTTGCGTTAGGAAAGCGATCTCTAAGAACGTCCTCCCAGATATTTGCAGCAAGGGAATTAACAAGTGATGATATCGTACTGAAATACAGTTCGGGTAATAAAAACAGTCAAAATGGGCTTTTATCTTATTCTAGACTCGTTCCCAAAACATTGCACTTGAACGTTTTTGGACACGAACACGATGTGTCCCCTGGATGTGTCCAAAGTACTGGTCGTAAATTTCTTGTTGAATTCTTGAGAATCACCTCGGATGAAGGCCAAAGAATATAGAATGATCCAAATCATTGCTTGGAAAATATTCTGAAACGAAGACATCGTGCCTTCGTTGCTAGATGACCCCCAGTGGCGCCAACGCGTCTGCTTTATAGCAGTTTAACACTGAATTAATTTTTGTCTTTATAAAACGTGCGGCGTATTGTTAATATATCCTGATAAATATATTTCAGGTTTATTTTCAGAAGAAACATGATTATGACGAACCTCGAAAAATCTGTCGATAAAATCTTTTCAAAAGCGTAAGACCAGGAATTGAAATAAGAACAGAGCATCCAGAATTACAACATTGTCAATCCTATCTTTACTCCACAGACACGAAAGTTCAAGATCTTTACTAATGATTTTAAAATATTAAAAATCACCTCAATGCGGCGCTAAACATAGCTGCAAGAAATATCCCTGGTATGCCTGGAACCGCAAGTACGTCCATTACAAAGTAGGGGAATATCTAAAAATTGAAACTATATTTCATAATATGCATGCTTTAATGACAAAGTTTAATGATATGAATCCCCAAATTTCAGCGCATCGAGTCCTTGCAGTAAATCTACCTGATTTATATTAGTAACAGCTCCAATAACCATAGGGTCACATTGAATGTGAGAGTAATAGGCATACACCGTGAGCCCTACAAGAGCTGTCAGCGCATAAATCACACAAAGGGCGGGAATAACAGTTAGCATGGTCCTGTAAGAACAAATGATCGGTCGGTTGCATTGATATATTGTATTAGGTTAAGCATAATAGCGAGATAAATAGTGTCAAAATAGTTCATTCTTGGAACGAAGCGTAAAACTTTCCATATATCATCAGTATACATTTATCTTTGATTTAAGAGCATGAGACATTTTATTGGTCCACTAGAACGATAAAAAATTACAATTATCCCCTCCCCCCACCAAATCCTGGGGGTGGGGGTGAGAGAATTTTTTATCTTTTTAAAAATATGTTTGAATATATTCATATTGCAGTTTTAGTATGCTTTAAGTATGCTCAAAATAATAACTAAAATTACATAAGCATTTCTCATGGATATCCATTGTTAAAGTCTGACTGGGGGCGACGCCCATATTATCAACAAGTTAAGTATGCAAGTTAGTGAATCTTCTGATTATGAATAGGAAAGTAACCTACTTTAGCTGAACAAAATGGATAAGGATAAATCAGT